GAAGCCAGGAGAGGAATCTCTTAGAGACCCCCTTTACACAACCCAGATTTAAGTTCTATTTTGTGATCATTCCTACAGAGGAAACTTCTGGGGAAACATAGTAACTGGCCATGCCATAGTTTACCCACGTGAAACCCTTGAGCCACACTCTCAGCCCAAGCTGCTAAATGTTTAGCTCTTACCAGAGCCTGAACACTGGCAAAAGGAAAAACTGCCACAATTTACACCAGCTCTAGATATGGCTTTGGAGCCCATCAGGCTGTTGCCACAATCCTGTGGATTCTTAGCCTCTGCTGGTATTCCTCTTGCCAATGGGCATATAATTGCTGCCGTATACAAGCTATTCACTTGCCTACTAAAATTGTTATTGTTCCTTGTGCCGCCAAACTAAGGAGACAGATACTGTATCTCTAGGGAACAATAGGGCTGACAAGGGTGCTAAATATGCAGCCCAAAATAGAACTCCTTTCCTTTTCCCACCCAATTTATAAACCTTTTATCCCTGACTGATATTATTAACTATTCAGGCAAATACCCCACAATCTTGAAAAAGACAAATGGATACAAAGGGGTGCCAAACAATTAGACAGATTATACACTGGGTCAAACAGACCTCCTGTGGCCCCCTTTCTTCTGTCCTTTTGGCTTGCACTTATATCCCATCAGATGGGACATATGGGTAGATGGGAGATAGTTAAGGAACTAAAAGATAATTGGTTCTTCCCTGGCATCCACAAAATTTCTGACCAAATTATCTCCCAGTGTACTACTTATAAATCTCATCAAATTTCTGGAGGAAACCAACATACCTCAGGAAATCCTCCAAGGCCCACATTCCCCCTTATGGAACCCCAAAATGGATTCCATAGATTTATCTCCAGTGTCAAGCTATTCCCACTATTTGGTTATCGTCTGTATATTTAGTGGATGGACTGAATGTTACCCAGCCAGGAGTACCAATACCACAACAGTGGTGAGGAATTAATAACTGAGAGTATTCCTTGTTTGGGCATTCTTTTATGGATTGGGTCAGAGGAAGGAACTAATTTTACAGCAGAAATTAACCACTTGCTTGCAAAAACTTTGGGGTACTCATTAATATTTCACACTCTGTACCATCCCTAATCCTCAGGGCAAAGAGAACATAAAAATCCAGACATCAAGAGGACTTTAGGAAAAATCTGTCAAGAAACTGGATTTAATGGCCAGGAGCATTACCTCTGGCCCTTTTAACATCTGGAATACTCCAAAGAGAAAACATTACATCTTTTGAAATAATGTTTGCTCACCCATTCCTACTGGCATCTCTAAACCTTCTATTCCTGGATTGAGTGAATATTATAGGGGTGTAAGTGAAAAATTTGATGCTTTTGATGTAACGTGGGCTGGGAGTGAATGGGCAAAACGAATTCTTGAGACAGTGCAAAAAGATGTTTTTATGATGGCAGGGGACAGGACCCGTGGGCAAACAAGACCTGCAATGTGATTTTGAACAACAACTGGTTATATGCTTTAAGTTGGGAGGGGGAGAGATAAAGGAAGTTTCCAAAAGGATTTTCATATATTAAAGAAGACTTACAGGATCCTGGAGGTCAGTCTAGTGTCAAACTAAGGTTGCTTTTTGCCTCTAGCAAAACATGAACCTTAGAGCAGTTGTGGGTTCCTTGAGGAATGTCCTACTCTGCCTGCCTCAAGTATTTGTCAATGGACTGCAAGTTGTAAAGAGGTTTAATTTTATCTACAATTCTTTTGCCTTTGTTCTCCATGTCCTTATGACTAGCTGTATACAAGACCTAACTAGTATAAATGGAGCATATCATCAATAGGTAAAAATGGCATGGCCTCTGATGACTGGCAAGCTTTGCCATCCTTTTAACCAGAAGATTAGATGTACAACACCGTTTTTAGAGGAAAGTACACATTATCATCTCACTGAGAAGATCTTTATCAAGTACTACTAACCCCTCACACTGCTATCAAAATAAAAGAAAAATCCTTCTGGATTCACACAAGCCCTGCCAAGTTAGTCGAGGATCAGCACTCCCAGGACAACTGGAAGACCATCCCTAGGGTGACCTTAAAGTAAGGATTTCCCAGGCAAATTCCCAGGTCCCAAAAGCAGACAAAATCATGAAGTAGACAGCTTTTCTCAAGATCACAGATCAAGAAACTGCACTTCTACCTATTTTCTCCCCCATTGGGTCTCCCTACTCCCAGAAGGAAATAAAAAAACTTCCTTTTAACAAAGTCTCCCCTTTCTTTAGCCATTTATTAAAAGGCTGATTGGAGGGACACCTGGCTGGCTCAGTATGTGGAGCATGCGACTCTTGATCTCAGGGTTGTGAGTTCGAGCCCCACGTTGGGTGTAGAGATTACTTAAAAATAAAATCTTCAAAAAAAAAAAAAAGGCTGACTGGATATTGATTGTCTCAATCTATTCCACTTTCCCTCTGATCCTCTACTTGGGACTGTCCTTCAAACAGGGTCTCACTTAGTAACTCTTACTGTTTCCTCAGCAGGTTATGCATAGACCTGACACCCCCTTAAACCACTTTTCTAAATACTAGCCACATTAACTAATCACTGGATGCATGACAGGTCATGGCACCCATGGCCAAAACACCACATCATTCTTCTCTTTTTGTGAGTCAGTTGTACATGGAAAAACATCTATGGAAGCTCAGGAACTGTCCTTTGCTCAAAGACATTAGAAGGGACTTTTTTTCCCTTTGCACTGAAAATTGCGGTGGTACTGGACCTTTCCCACATGACATACCAAGGCAATATTACAATCAAACCTTGTGGTCTGATTCCACAGGTAGCATCCTTGAGCCTCTCATGAAGGTCAGAAATGGTCTCATTGCTGACTCTTACGGTACTGACACTTGACAAACCACCAGATTTTACAGCAGGCTCACAAGCCACCCTTGTGTAACCTGGGAGCAGCTGAACTGCCAAAGGCCAAAGATTACATATGCGGAGCCCAAAAATTTGCACTCACCTGGTCACGTAACAAAACCAAGCCTTACAGCTCCTAAGGCCTAATTGCAGGCCTCCTCTATCTGATCTTTCACAACCTGTTCTGCTCCCATAGACTGACAGGGATACACGGAAGTTGGAAATGTGCAGATGACAACATGACAGGTGACAAGATACACCAAACCCCAACTTAGTAGGTCACAAGTTTCATTCTGACCTCATCCATGAACAATACTGGTCTTTTTATCTTATGTGATGATAAGGTTAAAGAGTTCCACCTAGATGGTCAAGATGATGTGGACTCAGATTCCTGACACTCTCTGTAACCAGGTACTCCACCTTAAATGCCAGCCAAATTACAAACTTGGGTTCCTTTGATCATAAATTAGTGCCACATAAATATACTATATGTGATGTTACAGAAAACTGGCTTGTGCATCACAATTCTAAGTTTTTATCAATATTAACCTCCCTTTTCCCAGGCTTTGGAACTTATGAGTTGGAAAGGCAGTTCTAAATCTTTCCATAGAAATAGAACATGAGTTCCGTATCACTACACAAACATGGGAAGCCGTTCTATCAGAAGTTAATAGTTTAGGCTCTGTTACACTCCAAAGCTGCCTCACCCTAGACACACTGACAGTCCAAAAGGAGGAGCTTATGTAGTCATTGCTGAAGAATGCTGCTTCTATGTAAATGGCGTGGGACAAATAATGTCTAACCTGCATCCTTTGAAAGACAAGATAAACACTCTCCATCAGATAAATGAAGTCCAGCCATTTTGTTGGACTGATCTATTTCCAGGGATAGGAGACTGATTTAATGGGGTATGAGGAAATATGCTTAGATTTGTTATTACCTATTTATTCTTATTCTAATCTATGCTCTTTTTTCCCTTTGCAGATAGATCCCTTGCCACTTGGCTGCTAACTTAATTCTTTCCACAGCCACCAATTCAGCTTTTATGTGAAACTTCTAAGGAACTTTCAGACAGAGGAAATGAAGGAGTTCACAGCATGTCACCCCAAAATATGCTGCTTTGTCATACTGATTATTTTAAGTTAAAGGAGCTTGAGAAACAGCAGGTGCAAGAGGGGCACTCTGACCTTCCTTAATTCTTCCTGACAGGAGATAAAACTCCCATGTGAAAGGTGCCCTCCCTCTACCAGGAGGAAGAAAAACAGTCTTATCACCAGAGATGGGGAAATCAGGCTGACAAATCTGTACAAACCAACCTTGTTACACTAATGTTTATCTTCCTAGGCATTTCTCCACAATTTACTACCCCTGGCCCAAACCCCTTTGTTTAAAAGGTATAAAAGCTTTCTGTTCTGGTCACTTCTTCGAGTCTTCATTCTCTTGCCTAGATTCTCATGTACATGTAAAAAAAATTAATAAAACGTGTGTGCTTTTCTCCTGTTAATCTGTCTTATGTCAGTTTAATTTTTAGGCCCTATTGGAGACCCAAAGATGGTAGGTAGAGAATTTTTCCTCCCTTACAATGGTCATTTTTTTTTTTCCGCTAGCACTCTAATCTCGTAGGGGATTACACTCCCAAACCTTTGGGTTATTCTTTTATTCACTCTCATGAGGTACATGCAACATTCTCACGATCTGCTCTCCGGCCCCCTTAGAAACTCATGCTCATAATTATGACGTCCATCTCATTATAGCTGTTTGAGGATTAAAGAAGTGTAACGTGCTATATACACAATACAAAACCTATCAGAGGGGGCCCTAAACCTTTGGCATTAGGACCCCAAGGAACAGCGATAAGGAAAGGGCGCCGTGGGCAGTTCCGGGGTGGAATCCATCACCTGACAGGAATGGGACTTGACGGTGACTTTCGGCGCGGCCACAGACTTTTCCTTCTAGCGAAACCTGTCTAACCAGCTTACTCCGCTTCCGGGTACTGGCCGCACTGCCTGCCGGCTGTCACGGAGTCCGCGGACCTCCCGGCAGCGCCTGCGCGCTGGAAGAAGAGCGCACGGGGCCCGTTTCCGGGGATGGGGAGCGCGCATGCGTACGCGGGCAAACTGGGGCCAGTTTAGGGCCAGGTGAACGCGGAAGTACAGGACGTGAGGGTGTGCTGGCTGCTCCGACCGTGGTGGGGCGACTGGTGCGAGATGGAAGAGGGCGCAGCTGCGGCTGATGGTCGGGACGGTCCCCGGGAGCGGCTAGGCTTGGGTGAAGCTGGGAGGCAGCAGCAGAACCACGAAGTGCGGTCTCAATCCCAGGCCGACCGGTTTCCAAAGCATTCCTACTGGTTGGATCTCTGGCTCTTCATCCTCTTGGATGTAGTGTTGTTTATCTTCGTGTATCTTTTACCATGGTGAGTACTCGGAACGCAGAACTGAACCGGTAGGGAGCTTACCACTACAATTTGGGGGGAGGCAAGGTAACTGAATTCCAGAGTATGGTATGCCCATGGTAATAATATAGCTGGTTAATGGCGGGGTCGAGGGGCGGGTGGTGTTGGGGTCGAGATGAGGCTGGAATGAAAGTGTTCTTCCTTGCACCTCAGCGAGGGTCTTCAAAGAGGTGTGGAAGAAACTTGGCTTCATAATTTTTTTCTTATGTTTTGGAATGAAACCAGCTGGGTTTGAGTTCCTGCACTACCACAAAGGAATTAAAGAAGTTATTTAGCTTTTCTGAGCTTTATTTTTCCATTTACCATTTGGGACCAGTAGTAACCAGGTCATAGGGGTGTAGTGAGGATTAAATGAGATAGTAATTTATCTAAAAGCGATTCGCATTTTTGCCTGGCAGCAGTAAGCCCTTAACTAAAGGTGTTGTTACTATAACTACAGTTTGACCTCGAGTAGGCCAGGTAGGTATCTCGAACAGGTCCAAGCCTGAACTCTTAGTAACTTCTTACCAAAATGTACTTATTTTTCAGTGTCCTTATTTCAGTAAATGTTAACTTTATTCATTCAGTACCCCTCCCAGAAGCCTGGGACTCTTTCATTTTCTCCTTTTACATACACCCACACATGCCAAAACACCAACTGTTAAAATAACAAAATTCTGTAGGTTCCACTTGCAAAATCCTTGCTCTCCATTTTCATTGCCACCCACTCTGAAAAGACAGTTTTGGAAGGGGATAAGGAAAGGAAAGGTAGAGAAGGGGCAGGGGAGCAGAACAAGAAGAGGGACACAGGACTGAGATGGGAAGGGAAAAGTTCAGGAGAGAAGCGGTGAGCTGAAGGGGAGGGCCTGTGGAAGAAAAGCGGGGCAGCTCATTTGGGCATCAGGGAGCTCTCTTGGACTTTGGAGTTGTTGACTTATCATAAATTAACTTTTCTCAATCCATGATAGGCAATTATGTCTTCTTTCCCCACCCCCAAAATTTTGGCAAAGATTTGGGCATGAGCTCATTGTATCTAAGGCCCCATTGTCGCTGATTTCTTGGATAATGTGGCAGATTAGAAGGCAGAGGGTTGAGGGGCGCCTGGGTGGCTCAGTTGGTTAAGCATCTGCCTTTGGCTCATGTAATGATCCCGGGGTCCTGGGATCAAGCCCCGCATCGGGCTCCCTGCTCAGCGAAGAGCCTGCTTCTCCCTCTCCCTCTGCCTGCCCCTCTGCCTACTTGTACTCTCTGTCTCTGTCAAATAAATAAGTAAAATCTTAAAAAAAAAAAAGGCAGAGGGTTGAGTGGGTGAATGGAAGAGATGGGTATTTCTGTAAAATACTCTGCCAAACTATTTGTAGAGTTTTCACTCTCCTCTACTTCCCCTCCTTTTTTGGTAGAGACTGATACCTCATTTATAGTGTTTTTTTTTTTTTTTTTTTTTTTTTTAATGACAGTTTTCAAGGGCGCCTGGGTGGCACAGTTGGTTGAGCGTCTGACTCTTGGTTTCGGCTCAGGTCATGATCTCAGGGTCGTGAGATCGAGCCCCGTATTGGGCTCCACACTCAGTGCAGAGTTCTTTCCCTCTCCCTGCCCCCTGCTCCCACTCTCGTCTCTGAAATAAATAAATAAAAATCTTAAAAAAAAAATGACAGTTTTCAGCTTTGGGTAGAAAATGTAAGCCATAGGAGGAATACTCCAGGCCTTTTTTTTCTTTCTTAACAATACGTAAATCATTTAGAAATAGGAAAGTGACTGAGACAATCTAGATTTTCAGATATTGGGGTAAAGTATTAAAACTGGAAGGAGACAGGGGCGCCCGGGTGGCTCAGTCGTTGGGCATCTGCCTTCGGCTCGGGTCATGGTCCCAGGGTCCTGGGATCGAGCCCTATCATCGGGCTCCCTGCTCTGCGGGAAGCCTGCTTCTCCCTCTCCCACCCCACCCCTGGCTTGTGTTCCCTCTCTCACTGGGTCTCTCTCTGTCGAATAAATAAAATCTTAAAAAAAAAAAAACAACTGGAAGGAGACATTGTTGACAAATATTTGGTTTTTACAGAATGGTTTGCCTGATGTCTAGATTAAGAAGTTGGCTCCTGGAGTGGATTCTGAAAATGACTACAAACTTCTTGAACATAGAAGACAGGATTGTGCAACAGAATTTTAAACTCTGAGGGACTTTCTTTCATTTTACATACTCTTGTTATTCCTTTTGGGGACTATATTAAATGGGTAATCTCACCCATTCATAGCTTAAGTTCTTAAAACTACTCTTTGATTCATGTTTAAAAACTTTTCAGACATCTGATAGCTTTATAGGGGCTGCATATTAAAGCATTTATACGTAAAGGTTTAATGTATTCATTAACAAATATGGTAATGTCTTGCCTTTAACATTTTAAGGATTAGCCAGGGTTTAGTATGATGCAAAAATGTGGTGAAATATTAAGGTGACGTATTTAAAAATAAATTACTCAAAAGCAATGGAAGAAAAAGGAGTTAAGGGCTGTACAGAAAGTGCAGGCCCAAAATGTATTGGCTGTTAAGTACCAATTTAATTTTTAGATTAAGTGGGCCTCTGTTATGGTTGCCAGATTGATACAATCTCAGAGAAAGTATAAATATCCAACATTGGAAATCTAGTGTGCATGTCCTCTTACCTGGATGCTTCCCCTTGCTTCATTTTAAGTTCCCGAACTTCCCTAAAATAGGACTGTGTTTGAAACCTATTTTTTATTATTGTGATTGTATTAAGAATGCTTGTAGCTAAAATATGTTTTTGTTTTTATAATGTCTTTACCTTAAATACTTCAGCAAAGTCATTTCAGCAAATATTTGATCACTTACTCGGCCAGGTACAGTAGTAAGCAAAAAAGACAAAAAATCCTTGCCTTCATGGAGCTTACATTCTTTTATATCTAAATGTTAGTAAGAATTTACATTCTAGGAGTGAACAGCTGGTGTTAAATCAGAAAGGTCACGCTCCCAAAGCAGCTACTAAAAGCCCTTCAGAAGCTAGTCCTATTATATAACAGATACTCCTTTATGTAACAGATGTTAGAAGTGGGCTCTTGTGGGGGCACCTGGGTGGCTCAGTCGTTGAGCGTCTGCCTTTGGCTCAGGTCATGATCCCAGGGTCCTGGGATTGAGCCCTGCATCGGGCTCCCTGCTCGGCGGGAAGCCTGCTTCTCCCTCTGTGTTCCCCCTCGCTGTGTCTCTGTCAAATAAATAAATAAAATCTTAAAAAAAAAAAAAAAGATATGGGCTCTTGTTGAAATTGGTGACATTTGATACATGTGAATTGCCTAAATATTTTGAGGATATTCACCTCCCTTAGAAATAAGAGCATAGATCTGGTAAACTCTACACCCTCTCCATGGCGTTAGAATGAAGTCCAGGACTGATTTTGGAAGATTTTAGTTGCCTGTTGCCCACTACAAGGTAACAGTTATGCCTCCAGGGTACTATTTCATCTACTTGGAGAGAACCTTTTATGCAAAGGTTGATACATCTAAAGAAACACAAAACTGGAATTTCATTGAGCATATCAAACAATATGAACTGTTTTTCTGCTGCTTGCTAATAATTTTGTCCAATCAATGTTTATTGTATAGCTAAATTTCGTCTGATTCGGATTTTGCATTTGTTTAAACAAATTACTTGGTAGGTAGCAGGGTTTTGAAAGGATTAACAGTTCTCATGTAGTTTAATGTTGTGTTACAAAGATTTATAATTTTGTTTCTGAGGCTAAAATCAGCCCACTACCACAACTATTGAATATTCTGAAAATTTCTAGTAGAGGGAAGGTAGCAAGGTCTTGGTGTTATGACATGACTGTAAATGGTATACAGAAATGGTTCCAGTATGAGGGTGAATCTTTTCTACAGCGGATGAATAAGAAATTATACCTACTGTGCCATCTCAAGTATAGTGAGTGCTTACAGCACCCACACTTAAAGGCTAACTAGGTAAAGTGAAAGGATGAATGGGACACCAAGAAAAGTTGGCCAGCTTGCTATGATGAAAACAAATAATAACATCAATGTGATTTTAATCTGATAAATTCCTTTTTAAATTTCAGACAATTTCATATAAATGAAATGATTATTTTAATAACCATTTGAAATGAACTGGCTGACCAGTTAACTGTGACAAAGTCTTTAGGATTTAGGAGTCTATGAACCTGAAAATTCAGGACAGAAACCTCTCCGTGTATCTAGTCCCAAAATGGCATGGGAATCATTCAGAGACTACAGGACAATTGATTTAAGGTCATTAAGGTTACTTAATGTATATTATGTTCAAGGATAAGGATCATCAAACTATGGCCAATGGGCCAAATCTGACCCACTACCTCTTTTGATCAGGCCTGTGAGCTAAGGATGATTTTTACATTTTATAATGGTTGAAAAAAATCAAGTGACTATTTCATAACATACGAAAATTATATGAAATCGAGTTTCAACGTCAATAAAGTTTTACTGGAACACAGACATGCCATTCATTTACATACTTCTTTTGCTACAGTGGCAGAATTGAGTAGTTTGTTACAAAGACCCTATGGTCCACCAAGATCAAATTATTTACTATCTGGCTCTTTATAGAAAGTTTGCCAACTCCTTTGGAGCCCTGCTTTAGACCTCACTGCAGCTACATTTTTAGGAGCCTGTAGTGATGACATTTTATGATTAGTGATACTCCAAGTACCCTTGAACTTTAAGGTGACTTAATTTCTCATAAAATACATAATCAACATGTGAGGAGAGGAAGCCACAATTCATGAATACACAGAAAAGTCCAACCATGTTAACATAAAAATCAGTTTTTTTTTTTTTAAGATTTTATTTACTTATTTGACAGAGACAACGAGAGAGGGAACACAAGCAGGGGGAGTGGGAGAGGGAGAAACAGGCTCTCCGCCAAGCAGGGAGCCCGATGTGGGGCTCGATCCCAGGACCCTGGGATCATGACCTGAGCCGAAGGCAGATGCTTAACGACTGAGCCACTGAGGCGCCCCAAAAATCAGTTTATCTTAAAAAAAAATTCTGAACCGGAAGAAACTGATTTCACAGAAAAATCAACAGTCTGAAGATAAGTATTTTGAACATTACAATAATTATTGGTTGCATTATTTCAGAAGTTACCATAATTTTATAACCAGAAGAAAACACATATAAAAATTAGGTACTCTAGAAATAAAAATTTTACATGTGAATAGTTAGTAATTATGTATTCAAATCTGTATTTGGAGTGTTGAATCAACAGAAACAGTTCCTAGTTTGTTAGTACTATTACATGATTCAGGTGGTTTCAACTGGACATTACTCTTTTTAAAGAGCCAAAATTAGATATTTCTATTTGATGTTGCAACTCAACTGTGAGTTGAAAATACAAATCTATGAGACTGTTGTTAAATACCAGAAATTAGTTTATATGTTTCAAATAATACATTTTTAACTGGACATCTTGACCAAAGAGAAATCTTAAAAAAAAGCTAGACAAAGATTTTCAAAGTTATTAAAAATATTGAAACCCATTTTTTAGTATTTTACAATGTTATAAAAGCAGTAATTAAATACAATGATATTTCAAATACAATTTTAGAAACTTTACAGTATTTACAAACCCTCCATACTAAAAGTTATTTAAAAATAAGCTTTCTTAAAAGATAAAAGTTTAATATAATATAGTTCATATTCAAGTAAAATTAAGAGAATATAAACTAATAACCCTACTGTTACAGTTAGAAAAGGCTAGTAAAAACTTCTCTAGGTGGAAGACAATAATTGAGCAAGATTTCTTAACTGGGTGAGATTAGGTTTTTACAAGCAATTATTTTATATTTATCTAGGAATACTTATTTTTAATCATTTACATTTTGGAATATTTTAACAATTTGTGGAGCTGGTCAAAACATTAAATTGACTAATCAGTTTATAGAATTAAGTTATATGTATGAAGTTTATTAATGTAAAAAAATTTTTAATTCTGTAATTTTCAATTTTCTTACATGGACAATACAACACTTAGCCACAATACATTTACCAACTTAGTATAAAATAAAATGACAACTAATGAAATAAAGCAATTAATGTAACTTAATTGCATTTATAAGGTCATAATGATAATGGAAAATTCCTTTATTTAAAAAAAAAAAAGGCCTCTCCGTGAAAGTAGGGTAAAATGACTGTTTAGAAAAATGGGAGGGATGCTAAAATTAATACATTTCATTAAAATTAAACCCTCTATATGAAAGTTGAAATTGAATCTGGAACCCAGAAGTACTCGGATTCAAGAATCTGAAAATCATTAAAATGGGTTGACGACCTATAAAGAGAGGTTAAGATGATAGCAGGGAAAATTTAGGCAGTCACAGTGACATCCCCAGTGGGCCTTAAGTTAAATTCCTAACACTGGTTATTAGCAGCCCCAAATAAACCAAACCAAAATAAAACCTTTCACATTTCATATAAAATTAGAAAAAAATGTAACAAATAAATATACTAATGTTAAGAATTTCACTTATTTTTAGCTTACATGGCTGAAGTAAGTTTATGATACAACAAAGTCCTAATTTATGTTAACGAGGCATTATGAAGATTAAAGTTCTAGGAGCAAAATTAAGTTTCTTCTGTTCTGACATTAAGAATTTAAAAATTGCTTTATCATTAAGGCTCCCCCCACAAATGCTATCAATTTCATGGGTTGATATTTTTTAAGACACTTAAAGGGATCACATGTAGTAGACTATCATAGAAGTCAAAAACAAATGGGTGAAGCCCTCTTTTGGTTGGTTACCCATTAGAGAGAAAGTGCTTCTTCATAAAGCAAATACTGCTTTGACTACACAAACTATGTATCACCTGGTATTTTTCAATTAGCATAGTTTACCAATCTACAAATGTGTGTACTGGTTAGTTTAATACTTATGGGTCTACTAGCCACATATAAAGGAACAAATTACATTTTTATTCAACTGCAGCAGTGACTTTTTGCATACCTTCTGATTTTCTGTTTTGCAGGCATGCCAAGACTATTCAAAGAGAATTTCTAAAATATCCAATAAATTGATCACAAAATAAAAAATATATATAGAAAATTAAAGTGATTAATGACTTTAAAAATGCCACAGTTTTAGTTTCATGTATCACCAGGTTTCATCAGTCAATTCCTATTATATTTTCATGGCCTCTGAGAAGTATAAGCTTACCAGTTTCATCACTTATCTATTACAGTGTATACTAGGTTTATATCTCTGCTCAGAAGGGCAGTTTGAACCAAGACTATTGTGTAACACAGGTGCTAGCCCTCTTTCACTCTGAGATATTTCATGATCATTACAAAAGTCACCGCTTTCTGGAACACAGAGCTTGGGTCTCTGATGGTATTTCAGTCTGTATGTATCAGTCATGCAGCTATCAACTGAAAAATAGGTAGTTAATGAAATGGTCTCATTTGGACAGACAGAACTAGAGTCTATTTCTGGTTGGCAAAATGTATCAACAACTGTACCCAAGTCTGCCTGAAAATCTTTAGTTGAAAAGCTTGACAGGTAGTTTGGTGTGTTGCCAACATGCTCTTTTATTTGAAATGTTTCATTAAGTCTTTGATCATTCATATACATACCTACTTCTGAACCTGGTTCTGAATCCAAATTTAAACTGTGCTTTGGAAGACTAGAGGAATTAGCTTTAAACATCTCTGTAAGTTTTACATTAGGTGTGGGATCATTTTTCTCTGACTGTGGCACACTGGTTATAGCATATTTCTTTGGTGGCAAAGGAGGTGGTGGATTATGGCTAACAAGTTTCGGCATCTGACA